GACCTTTCCACTGCTGAAGGAGCTACACATCTCTCAGCACAGACAATGCCCAAAGACTTGCAGCTTGAGTAATCCAGAAATAGGAACTGCCTGAATCTGAAGATCAGCAAGGTTTCAGTACAGCCTTTTCTTTCATTTGTTCTCTGTCTTTTGGGGGCAAGCACAGATTAAACAGCATTTTCTATTCTTTGAAAGCTTTGTCCCAGCAATACAAAACCTTGGTGTGGGAAACAGGGCAGACTCTTTAGCTAAGGGCATGCCTTAAGCTTGTGGCCACAAGGGCTTTGCTGCATCTTCTGGAGCCAGTGACAGCCTGAAACAAGAGTGGCAGAGAAAACCTCTACTGACTGCACCCATGCCCCCCACAGGAGGGACACAGCCCGAGGGTAAGGACTCACCTTCCTTCAAGCTTCCAGTCCTGGAGAAGGCAACAGGCCTCCTTTCAGCAGTGCTGACCTCAGGGAGCAGCCAAAAATCTGCAGTCTTTCAGGCACGTGTTCTGCTCCACATTTATTTCCTCTTTGCCACTGATCTCTGCTGCAGACTCAGCCTCCTTGCCAGGCCTGTGAGGATGCTTCCAGGAACCAAGTTTTGTTGGTAATTTATGGCAAACCTGCAGCTCCCAAACTGTCCAGCATTGGAAAACAGAAGGTTGCTGTGCTACCCCAATGGCTTGCAGAGTGATTAAGGATAACTTTGAGGCCTGGAGCTCAACAGCTCCCAAAGGATTGATAAAGTACATACAGCAATCTCCAGTTCCACCTCTGGAGTCCAAACCCTCTCCAGATGATTTATGACAGTTATTTCCTCCCTCTCCCCCTGCTGCTGCAGGAAGCTCATTCCCTGCAAGGTCCAGCATCACTCTTGACTACTGAACAGCAACATTTACAACCAGAAAAATCCTCCAGCAACAGAATCAGCCCCAGAGGGCCAAGACAGCACCACACAAGCCCAGGATAGATCTTCTAATAAAGAAACTGGGGTAATAGGGTCAGGCTACCTGAGGCAGGCCCAGCTGTGCTGGTTAGCAGTGCTGGCCTGATGCAGTGGGAATGGGAGCCAAGAACTCCCTAGACACCTTTGAGGCTGCTCCCATGAGACTGCAATGCTAAAGCACCTTCCCCTCCCAGGAAAAAAGAGCCTCCCAGCCCAGGCAGAGAGCAGATGCTGTTGCTGTTATCCTCCCTCAGTGTCTGTTGCTGTAACCTGAGGCTCACAGGGAGGCAGTGTAAGTGGGAAGGCAGCTGCCCATTCCTCATGGATCCATGTCCTCCACGGCCACTGTGCATCACAGATTCCAGGCCAGAGGCAGCTAACACTAGCAGTTAATAAGCTGTGAATATCCCTGCTTACATCTGCCCAGAAACACATCTTGTCCTGGCTGGTGTTCAGGAGAGTCGGTTCCCACCTGGACACACAGATAACCCTCCAGTGCTGCTCTTATCAGAGAGCAGGTACTAGTGATAAGCATTAGCTATAGCAAGGAGAAACCCTCTGAGGTTGAGCCTGTGACAGGAGTCTGGAGAGGAAAGCAAACCTTCTGGGTACCACAGCCCCAGGGAACCACACTCCTGGGAGAGGAAAGGATCACAACATGCATCTCCAGAAGAGGTGGAGGAGGAAAATTCAACAAGAGCAAAGAACTCCCTCAGGAAAGCTTCACTTCCGAGTATAGATTTTAATATTTATTCAGTACAGGGCCAGTGAAGAGAACTGGGAAATAAGGCAAAGGCAAATTATCCTCCAGAGCCCAAGTGAACATCTCATACACCCAGACCATGCAAAGCAGCAGCTGTGCTCCTCCCTGGAGCCACATCCCACATCCTCCCCATCTGCTGGAGCACAGGCCATTGCTCACAAGTCCAGGAGGAATCGATTGACTTTTTTCAGGTATTCTGACTTCAGGTAATCTCCCAGCTCCTTCTTTGTGACCCACAGGTAATCTGCCTTCAGCTCTGCCTGGGACAAATCACTGCTTTGGAGGAAGGCTTTGAAGAAGAAGACTTTGGCTCCCACGTTATTCTCAGTTCTGATGGCCCTGGGGAATTTATACTTGTAAATCCCATATGGTGCATTCCCCAGGACTTTGGCTTGAATGCGATCTCCTGCAAGAAGCCAGCAATGCAAGAGAGAGTAAGACATAAGAACACAGAACAACAATAACTGCTCTCCTGTATAACAACAACACAGCATAAGCCATTCCTTGTAAGTGGTTCAGACTGACTGTTCCCTCTTTGGCAGAAATACTGACAGCTGTGAAAAAACTGTGGTTTGTTCTCATGAAAAAACAGCTCATTTGGAGACCAGAGAGTCCTCTCAGAGCAGGAGAGAGAGGAAGGGAAGGAGAGGGTATCCAGCTTTACCAATCCTGAGTGAAAAGCAAGGACACGTGTTGGCCATCATTACCCATCTGCCACAAAAACTACCACAGGGCAACAAGAGGGAAAGATAAGCCCAAAACAATCCCAGACATTCAGGGATGGTGAGGTGTATGGTGATACCCCAAAATGGCCCACGATGGCCAGACATAGCACTGCTGCTGCTGGGCTGATCCCAACTCCCAATGTGCCAGCCCTCTGGCGTGAAATGCCCTTTCCCAGCAGATGGGAGAAGATTTCGCTACAGCAGATGGCAAATATCCCTCAGACAGGGCACTGGAAGAAAACCACTGGACAAACAGGAGGGAGGGTCAAGCTACACACCCAAAAACGTAGCCATGGCTCGCTCAGCTGTGCTCCGTAGCGTCTCTCCAGGCTGCCACTCCACTTGAGGCAGGAGCCACAGCTCCTGGTTACCAATTTTCTGTTTCACCAGAAACATCAGGTTGCTGTCCAGCTTCCTGTTCAACGACGTTCGATCATTGCTTTTATCAGCATCTGCCAAAAGCCAACACAGGCTGGAAACAAAGTCTCCTGGCAGCATGCTCTGACTCTCTGGGTTATCAACCCTCTGTGCCTCCCACCCAGAAACAACACACAAATATGGATACATGGAATAAGACAAAAATGTAGACAGGAATGCTCGCAGTCACTCTAGAAGTCATTGCAGGATTTAGCTGCTGTTGTCCTTTCCAGAAGGACTCTATAATAAGCAGACTAGATCTCCACCTTGACAAAAATCAAGAGCACTAAGCAGAGCTTGGGAACCAAATGACCAAACATTTCTCTTGTCTGGAAACCACATCTATGTTCACCACCTTGCCCTGGTGAACACACACTTTTTTGCAGCACAGGAACACTGATTTCCCTGTCAAGACTGTTAATTGCACATGTGCTGCCACAGAGTCAAGACTCTCTTTAAAACAAACAAAAAAAGAAATCCAAAAATGTCTTCCTTCTACTGAATTGCACTCTGGCAAACAATCTGGGTGTTCTCACCCACCACAAACTCCAAGCTGTACCTGTTATCCGCGGGGCAGCTTTGAACTGCAGGAACTTCTGCTCCCACTTCTCCTCCAGGTCTTGAGCCATGATGACCGTCTTGCCATGAGCTTCATCCTCGTCATATGAGCTTTCCATCTTCCTCTTGAGCTGCTCCTCCTCCTCCAGCTTACGCATTTCGTGATCTGAATAGAGGCTCTTCTCCAGCTCTATCTAGAAGAGCAACATAAAAAAGCCTTCTTAAGTGCTTCTTAAACCACAAGCACTATATTAGCAAGCAGAATTACATTATTTCCAATTCAGTAAAAGTAAGGCAATAGGAATTTCCTGAGGTTGAGCAGGGCTTCCCTGCTTGCAGCAGGAGTGTGTGACAGGGGCACCAACACCATGGAGGATGTGAAAAATGCCAATCACTTGGTTTTCAAAATTTTTAAAAGTTTAATAATAATAAAATTATTTTAAAAATTGTAATACAATTAGAGTAATAAAATTTAAGTTAGTACCATTCAAGACAATAAAAAGCAAAGAATTACGGACATCTGGATGCTCTCAGACACTAAGTCACGAAAAGCATACCTTGTGACCAAAGGAATAACCTTAAAAGCAATAGCCTGTTGCATATTCATATATCTCATACATGATGCATAAATTCCTTGCAAATTAAGAACTTTTCTGGTTTTTGTCAGCTTGTTCTCCTCAATCTTGGTGGTTCCAAAAAGATGGAGAAAAGGTGGAAGAATGTTTGTTTTTTCTGATAAGGAGGCAGCAACTTTTTATGGGCCCCCTTTGCTGACATCTATATGTGAAGAGTTTTTTGATTATTTCATCTTCTCGCTTGAGCTTGCAACAAATCCTATATTGCAGAGTTTCTATTTTAACATTATGTTGTAACCTAAAACTGTATTTAACACACTACTTAAGAGAATTAATACAGCACAACTTCCTAACATTACACATACAATACTCATTGTAACATTTGCGAAAAGCCAATCATAAAATAGGCATTTCTCACAGAGGGAACACCACCAAGACCCACCAGACGTGGTGCAAAATCGCACGCAGAGCAACATCGCAGACGGTGCCAAGGCCAGCAGCCCCTGACGCTGCTGTCCCCTCATGCCTGAGGGCGCCACTTCCCACCGACACCCCCGCGCACACACACAAATCCTACACATCTCCTTCTACCTGCTCCATGAGCGCCGCCACCTCTTCCTCCTCCTTTTCCAGAGGCTGCGTGATTCGGGGAAGCCTCAACAAGCACATCGCCCCGAAAAGCTTCCACGGGCGGTGCGCGGCAGCGCTGCAAACCTCTGGAGCGGTGCAAACCCCCCGGGCGGTGCCAACACCCGGAGCGCTGCAAAACCCCCGAGAGCTGCAAAACCCCGGAGCGGTGCCGGCCCCCCGAGAGCTGCACACCCCCCGAGAGCTGCACACCCCCCGAGCGGTGCCGGCCCCCCGAGAGCTGCACACCCCCCGAGAGCTGCACACCCCCCGAGCGGAGCCGGCCCTCCGAGCGGAGCCCGCCGCCCGCCGCGCCAGGGCCGCCGCGGCCCGCGCCCCGCACGGCGCCGCCATGTCCCCTCCTCGCTCCCGGCGTGCTCCGCGGCGCCGCTCCCCGCCGGAGCCGGCGCCGCCGCCATCAGCGCGGCCATGGCGCTGGCCGGGCTGCGCCTGCTGGGCTGGGGGTGAGCGGAGAGAGGGCGGGACGGGCTGTGGGAGCGCGGGGGCAGCGGGGAGGGCTCCCTCTGGGCGAGGTGTGCGCTGGGGTTCCGCGCTGTCGCTCAGCCGGTCTGCCCCTCTCTCACGGCTGTCTCCCGCAGGGCCCGCGCCGCCGCCGCCCGGTGCCGCGGGCTCCGCTGCGGCGCGCCGGGGCTGCGGGCCGGCGCGGCTGCCGAGGAGCCGGAGAAGCAGAGCGAGGCCGAGCAGAGGTGAGAGCCGAGGCCAGGCCGCGCCGGGAGGCCGCTGCCATCTGCCGCTTGCTGCGAGGTTTTATCGCCCGCCGCGGGTTTGCAGCCGTGCGTGGGGAGGGAGCCGCTTGACTCAATCAAAAACGCAGCTTGCGCTTTTCGGAGGCTTGATCCCTTCTTCCTTCGTTTCCCCATGTGAGACGAAACTTTATAATACTTTAAGAGCGAGGCCTGATAATTCTTACTTTGCTCCTTAGCGCCTTAATCCTGCAGAGGAACTCCATGAGATGGGATGGCAAGGTTTATGAAGAGGTCCCGATAGCTCACATCAAAGCAACGTACAACAAGTAAGAAAATGAGCTGCTCCATTCCTGCTCTCGTGCGAAATAAAAGCCTAGAACCCGGGGTTTGCCCTGTCATCATTTTGATCTAAAGATTCAAAGAAAAACAGCCAAGGGGACGATGTTCATGGTTGGGAATATGATACTGATTTAAACCTCAACGCTGTTCAGGGAGCATAACTGTTCTTGGAGTGTCTTAAAAGCAATGAGATTGTTTTTATATATTATGATTACATTCTGATATAAATAATCAGATGCTGATAGGTTTAACAGCAGGTTACTTCCCACTAGCCCACTGCTTCAGCACAATTTCTGTACAGGTGTTAAAAAAATTATCATATTCTCCATGAGACAATTGTGTTTCATCAGTGATTGCTCCTGTGATATGTTGCTGCTTAAAGCTCTTTCAAGTTCTAGAAGTGTTTTGTGCATTTTTTTTTTTTTTAATATCAGAGATCAAATGCAGTAAGAGGTGGACCTGAAAGGACCAAATTTGGTCTGAGGTGTACTTAGATAAGGCACACCATCTCCAGAAAGGTTCTGCCTGGGTCTGTAAGATGACCAGGTCACTGCTGGGTGGTCTCTGCAGTGAGTTTAAGTGAGATACTTTGAAAGGGAGATCCAAGTCCTGCAGTCAGCTGTGCCAGTAAAGTGAGCGAAAAACTGGAGAATAAAGCTTTGTTCCAGCTTGCTTCTTCCCCTTGCCCCTGTCCCACAGCACGCACATCCAGGTGGTGAGCTTTGACAACCAGCCGTTCTCCCGCACGTCCTGCGGCACGGAGGGCTTCCAGAACGCCAAGAAGGGCACTGCCATCGCAGCGCAGACCGCGGCCATGGCAGCGGCAGTGGTGAGTCCCACCGTCATCCCCACCTCTGACTGCCTGCCCCGTACCTGGGCACAGCCCTGGCTCGCAGGCAGCACTGTGGTGCTGGAGCAGTGTCCCATGTTTTGTTTGCACACAGACAAAGTGTTTGAAAGAGCTGTTAGAAGTGCCCCAAGTGGGAGCTGAGCTGTGCAGGTTGCAATTGGAAATTCGTGATTGTAACTTGGAGCCTGTCCTTTCCTAGTGCCGGTCTGTATAGCCTCCTGTTTTCTTAAGTGAACATTTCTCAGTCATTTGGGGAATGTAGACCCTGAATCAGCAGCAGTTCAAGTTTTGCCTCATAGGGGACTGAAAGTAGCTGTAGTTATTGTCTGGATATTTTATATCTGCTCTCTGCCACAGAACTGAGCTCCAGCCAGCAGTTCCAGTCAGAGAAAGTGATGTTCTTGCACCTGTAGTTTCCAGGCACATATGGTTCGTTGTAACTCTTTCTAAGAAAAACCATGTGGGTGTCCAGGTGGAGGAGATGAGGCTGGCTGTGTCACGATCCTCATTACAGCTGAATGAGGCAAAGTCAAACGGAAAATCCTTACCCTAAATTAGGTGGAATGGAACTCACTTCAGCTTTTCATGCCACAGGAGTTTGGTGCCAGTGCTGGCCAGCAGCTTATTGTGGCTGACTCAGAGGGATATAAGAACATCTTCACTATTAATCTGTGCTCCTTGGAGCCTCATAATAGCTGCATAGCTGTGCTTGGACAGATTTAGTTTGTCACTGTTGAAGTAGTTAGTATGTTAATTGCACTAGAGCGCAATGAGAAAGAGAGCCAGAGGATCTCCCTCCACGTGGTGGCAGCAGGGCTGTGCTGTACAGCAGTTTGTACAATTTCCAATTTGAAACCCCCTAGAATTTTTGCCCTGGAGGTGTAGACTCCTGCACAGCAAATCTAAAGCTTGCCTGCTCTCTCATTTACCCTCCAGAAAGAATCCACTGCTCACAGGGGAAAAGTGGCCACATTCGAGAAGGGAAAACAACTTAGAGTTAGTCATTGTTAGTCCCTTGCCACTTCACTCACGTATCCATGGATATGTCCTTTTTTGCTCTGGCATTAGGTCACAGATAGTTTGATTTTAGAGCTTTCTCTGTGTGCAGAGCTCACAGTCTAGCATGGAAGTTCTCTTGAACTGCCAAGGCCATGCCCCATACCCCCTTTGCTTTTAGTGTCTCTGCAGTAATCCCCATGTATGTCTTCTGTATTTATTACTACCTAATCTTTATTTTTTACTTAAATACTATTATGAAAGTGAAAGACACCAGGGGAGTCAGAGTTTATGTCAGAGAGAACACTAACCAGTTGTTCTTTTCACAGAAGGCACGTGGGAAGGGCGTACTGCACGTGCGAGTTATTGTGAAGGGACTGGGACCAGGACGCAAAGTAGGTGTTGGAGTTTCTTTTCCATACTTTATTTTCTCAGCTGTCATGGATGTTTTCTAAACTCAGGCTGGTTTCAATTAACTTGGTTTTTCTGAAACTGATAAAAAGGATTCCTCATCCAAGTGCCCAGTAATGAATTTTTATAGTCATTACAATTTTTGAGTAATACCTTGTTGGAGGTAGAATAAAAGCTGTATTTGGGGATTCTTATGGCTAAAGTAGGAAAATCAATGGGAATGCTTTAGAAAGGACTAGAGCAGAGAAGTTAAACCAGTTTCTGATATGAGTTACTTATTTTTAAGAATTAAGAAGTGAGAAGAATTGGAACATGTTGATTTTCAGGTGGAGGATGAAACATTTGCCCTGAGCTTTTTCTGTGTGTTGATAACTGTCATCTGCTGTGTCATTGCAGGCTGCCATCAAGGGGCTGACGATGGGAGGTTTGGAGATCATCTCCATCACCGACAACAGCCCGGTCCCCCACAACGGCTGCCGCCCACGGAAAGCCAGGAGAGTGTGAGGGGCAGTGCAAGGGACACGCAGCTTTCAACATCAGTTCATCAGGGACTGAGTCAAATGTTGCTTCTGTGACTGATTCTGGAAGGCCACCTTCCCTGGAAATACTTGTTAAGGGAAGCTTGGATAGACCATGCTGAGCCTTGAAAATGCAGGAGGTAGAAGCTACTGGTGAAAGCAGGAATCCATGTATTCCCTTAGTGGGAAGCCTCTTGTCTACAAAGTTTGTTGATTAAAATGTTGGTCTTTTGACAGCCATTCCTGCTGTGTTCCCAGAAGTATTTTGGCTTATTACTGCCTTTCAACTGCTCTCTTCCTCTTACCACCGTATGTGGCTCTTGTCTAGCCCTCCATGCCATTAGTGCCCTTGTCAGGCAGAAGGAGAGCCTGAGATCTCGATCTCCTTGTAGTCATTGTAGTAAACAACTGCACAGTCAGGTCATCTTCCTTCCCTATTTGTCTCACTGCTCACATTGGGAAACAAGGCATGGGTTAACTCTTCCCTCTGGCTCACAGAGCTACGTGTGCCCTATGAGAGGCAGCTCTTCCTGTTCACAGAGCACCAGCCTGGATCCATTCCTGCCAAGGATCTGTTGCAGTGCTTTGTTTCACCCAGGCTGTACTGACCTGCCACTGCTCTTGGCAAAGGAAAGCACCTCACTTTCTAAAGGGGCTGCTGGGATCTTGCCAGGTTTGATGCTTGCAGTCTCTGGCCCTGCCTTGTGCACCACAAACTGGATTTTCCAGGGTCCTGGGGAAAGCAAGCAGGGGTTAGTAGGCCCAAGGAATAATGAAATGCTGCCAAGGAGATACAAAGCACTTATGTCTTGAACTGTACCCCTGTGTATCTACAAGCAGCAGGAGCGTGTTGTGGGTCTGTGATGTATTATTGCTGTCCCAGCTCCGTCCAGAATTTCTGCCAAGGAAATATTTCAGGAGCATTAAGCAGGGAAGGTAAAAGCTGTAGTAACTGAGTACAGGATTGATTTGCTGGATGGCAGAGGCACAGTGCCTAGCAAAGGGCATCTCATTGAAATCCCTGCTGCCAGAGAAGCCCTGGCACTATACAATGTGTTCTGGACAAGTATTTCACCTGTAAACATGGTGTATTTTAGAGCAACCAGCAGTTCTATTGCAAATGCAGAATCTTCCTTTCTATTATTTCTCATTCTGTCATTCCTCTGTAGTTTCTTAAATTGCATAGTTAACTATTTTCTTCCTCTTTAGAGAAAGGGTGCCATAGCAACAAGGCAGTGAACCTCCTTCATGGGGCTGAATGGCATATAGCAGGTTTTGAAAGAAATCACTGCTTCGAAAAGACTGTTGATTTGCATTTGACAGGAGAAAACAAGATTCAGACAAATCTACTTTAGTCCAACTCTCTGAATTTGAAGGGAGGGTAGGTGATCTTAAAGGGAAGTTCCTTGAGCTGTCACAGATTTGACAGTGAGGAATGTTTGCCACACTAGAAGAGTTTTTCCCTCACTCCAGAAATACAGCTGCACTAGGGACTTAATATTCTGCTTTTTAAGAAGAAAATGGCAGGTCAGGCATGAACTGCCAAGATGAACTCTGTGAGTATGCAGTCAGCTGGCTGGGAAAGGGGTGTGTGATGTGCTTACAGCGAGGTTGGGCTGGTGTCTGTGCCCAGCACAGCAACCAGCCTGACAGAGGAGGGTACCAGGCTGTGCTGGCAGATTTGTCTAACACAGAAAACCAAACACTGTTCCCTGCTACTACTTGTTCATTGCATCAATGCAGAAGTGCCCAAGTCACATGAAGATGGTAGAACAAATTGAAAAGTAAAATTGTTAAGAGATCTGTGGTCCTCCTGGAATTCAGGAAAGAGTATGTGAATCAAGAGTTAGAAAACACTAAGAATAAATCTTCATCTTACCCACACTTAAAATCTAGGCAGTGTCCTTTGTAAAGGCCACTCCTTAACATTCTTTGTTTCTGGGTGTTTGTGAGGGTTTTAGGAGATCTGCCAGTGCATCACCACTGCTTATACAAGTGGGAGGCTTTATGTCCCTCCCTTCCCTGCCTATTTCTGGTATCTACCCCCACTTCTTGCTTTGACTGACAGTCCGGTAACACCCTCTGTGCTGGACAGAAGAGGCTGAGGCTGTTCTCCATGGCTCAGTGGCTGGGATCTGCACAGCATGATGCAAATCTTCAGACCCCCAGCTCCCTGTACTCTGAACTCCCCAGCCCAATACTTCAGTTGTACAGCTTTTTACTGAAATCACATTTTCCATCCACATTCTCTCCTGCCCTGATGGAGCACTCCCAAAACCATGTCCTAACTTAGTGCACAGTCTGAGCTGTTTGTCCTGCAACACATCCCAGGGCTCTGGGACAGTCACTGAGGTGGGGGAGCACAGCTGCACAGAGCAAGGGCTGGAGTGCTCCTTCCTGGATACACTGTACAGTGGAAGAAGGCTTAAAACTCTGTTGTGGTTTGTGTTGCAGGGAATTAATAGACACCAATAGTGCTTAACGATTTCCTTACCCTTCAAATGAAACTATTAATTAAGTGCCTGGTTTTAGTCAGCCACTGGTGTTTACAAGTTCTAATTGCTTTTCTTGGCATCTGGGTGGAAAGCTGTTTTCTACTGGCTCACATTCCTCCTGAGCAGCAATTACTTTATTTGTCAGTAGCATGGCCACAGCATTAGCACTCTCATTAGGGTCATATCCTCTCCCTCTGGGCTTCCCTGTTGCTTTTGGACATTTTGCTCTCCATTCCCTCCTAACTTTGATTCCCCACACTCAGAGATTACTTTTTCTGAGAAACAATCTCAGAAATTGCTGCTGGCTGCAAAGCTTCATCCTGGTTCAACCATGGCCTTTTCTGGGATTTTGCCTTCCATTCTAAACAAACGGTCACATAGACCTCTCTCCATTGTATCCCTGTAAATCCCTGCGTAAAACAGAACAGTCTCCTGACTTACAGATAAAATGCTGCCTCAGGTCTGTTTACCCCTTACTGAGTGCCACATTACCTTGGGGAGTTAGTAATTCAGTTACCCTTCCTTTGGACCTGGGATGGCACCTGGTGGCCTGGAAGAGCAGCCCTCAGCCATCTCCCTAATCGTGTATCATTCTGCAAAGAGGAATGACTTCCCTATCCCCAGCAACAAGGACCTTCTGCCCAGAGCTGCAGCTTTATCTGCTGAATTGGTGATTTGCTATTTCTTCCATGAGCATCTCAGTGACAAGAGTCAGGCGGCCAATTTGGATCCCTTTGTGAGATTCAATTAAACCATAAAGTGATGTCAGTGTCCTTTACCAGCTGACTGTACACAAGTAGGCAAGGAGAGGGGGACTGACCCTGCAGTGCTAATAAACTGTAGCAGCAGGGGTGGCTTACAGCAGCCGGCTGCAGCTGCTAAAGACATCTGTGCAGGTTTTGTTGGCTTTCCCTCTGCTGTGGGAATACCTGGCTCGAGATGTGCACAAAGAAGGTCACTGAGTAGGTGTTTATAACCCTAAAGCACCCCTGGGAGTTTTGAAGAAGCAACAGTTCAAATCAGGCTATGTTTTTGCACTCAGACTTCAGCAGATAATCACAGTGCTGCTTTCATGCCTAGCATCCGCACCTGGCCCCTCTTCCCCTCCAACCTCAGCCCATGACTTCTCAGACCAAAAAGAGATAAAAGACACTCAGATTGGTTTTCTGCTTTCCCAATGCTCTCCTCTCCCTGAAGAGGCATTAATGGGTACTCGATAGCAGTAGGAACTGCTCAGAGGTTTTACTAATGAACAGCCTAAGAGCATCCAAGTCCCCACACTGATGGTGAAGCAGGGCTGCAGGGTCCTCTTGGGGAGATGTAGAGAGAAGCCAAGCCTCGATGTTATTTGTTTTTTTTGAAACCACTCACACCTCCTCTGCTGAGTTCTCCAAGCTTCCCCTGCACTAGTGCCACTTGGCAGGGTCCTCTAATTTCTCCAGAGTCCATAACCATCCTGCTATGCCCACATCTACTGATTCAGACAGTGGAGGCTGTGCACCTGGACCCAAACATCTCAGCAGCTCTGGAGCCCCAATAGCCATTGCTTGGGAAAGCTCCTTCCAGCAGCAACCTCACCGCCTGTTTTTTTTTTTTTTAAAGTAAGCAGAAGGGAAAAAGGATTGTGCACAAGGGGGTCCTCTGTACAGCAGCAGGCCAGGCTTCCCACCCACACAAGACTCTAGGTAACAAATAAAACTTGAGGCCCCAGGCAGGAGAATTATATATTTCACCCATCACTCTTCCATCCTCTGCCCCTTCTGCAGGTCCCAAGGTGAGGTGAAATAGGACTCATCTCTGCATGCACCAGCCTGCAGGCACAGACCTGGCTCTCCTAATTGCCAGCCAGGCTCTCACACAGTCCCCTGGCAAGATCTGGGCACTGCCTTTCATTTTGCTCGGGCCAAATCCACAGAAATAGTACTTTCCTGACCTGCCAGGGTCAAACTGACCAAGAAATGAAAATTACTGTAGACTGGCCAGCCCTGTGGGCTTCCTTTACGTAAGGCCGATGGCTGGAAAGCAGCTTTCTCCAGCACTGGGAGATTCTCTGGGACAATCTGTCCCTGGACATGGTTGTAAAACCAGCCCTGTTTACCAAAATCCATCCAAAGAAGTGATGCTGGCTGGGGAGATCCCCTTCCAAGTGATCCTGCAGCCAAGAGACACGGTCACCAAAGGGCCAGCATAAAACTGGAGCAAGCCCTGCTTGGCCACAAGCAGCTGCACAGCAGAGCTGCTCTCTCCAACCCTTATCAGAGCCAGCGGATCAGCACCAACATCACCTTCAAACCTGAGCCCTCTCTGGGGAAGCAGCTGATGGGGGATTTAAGGGGTAGGAGGCAGGATGAGGAGAGATTAATTCAGACTTTGCTGCCCAAAGCCAGACAGGCTGCACTGCACAATCATGCTGTCGAGATGACATTTGTCTGTCCTATGTTACAGGAGACCCTGTTTAGCTGCCAGTTGCTCCTTTTTCCTTACAAAGAGGGATTTTACAAGCATTAAGTACTAACCAGTCAGGGGTGAACCAATGACCTACCTACACTGCTGCAGGTATCAGCACAGATAATCTCACTTACCCTGACTTCAGGACCAACCCCCAAAAAAATAGGGCAGCAGCAATGAAAATTATCCATCACGCTCAGAGACGACAGAGCACGTGCTGGCTCTGCACTGGGGGCAGTGCCAGTGTTCTGGGATGGAGTGCCCCGCACAGGGACAGTGCCAGCAGGGCAGTAACCA